TTGCGGCGGGTCTGTCTCTGAAGGCCACTCTGTCCCTGGTCCCTTGCCTTTCCTATTCCTAGATAGAGTGAGTAGTTTTGTTTTGCCATGCCCTTGATTGGGCCTCACCACAGACCATAGTAATGCAGCCAGACACATATGGGCCATGAGCCAAAGCAACTCTTTCTTCCCCTAAGCTTCTAACAGGTAATGTGCCACGGTGACAGTAAGCTACCACCATAGGCAAGCCCTGTAGACAAAGACGCCAACACCTCGATGTTGACAGAATGACCAAGAAAATGCCAGTTTCCTTCATGCAGGAGAAAGAGATGACCCATAGACCGGAAATCTGTCAGCCAAACAGCACGGGAGGAAAGGATAAATCTCCAGAGCTGGTGCAGAATTCACACAGCTCAATATAAAAGCAAGTAACTGGACTTTTAAAATGAACAAAAGACCTGGGCAGACACTTCTCCAAGAAGACCCGAGTGGTCTACACTTGCTCCAGGTCACAGGTCACCAGAGCCACAGACAAAATCCACAACAGAATGCCATCACCCATCTGTTAGCAAGAAGCAACAGGTGGAGAGAAAAGAGGGACCCTTTCCACTGCTGGCAGGAGTGGAATCTAGGTCAGTCACCAGGGGAGACGTGGTGACACTTACACACACACACACACACACACACACACACAATAGAACCACTGTGATCTCCCGCATCCAAAGGGACTGAGGCCAGGCTGTGAAGACACACCCATACCCCAGTTTTACTGCAGCTCTCGGTAGTCACAGCGACCATGACACAGAACCCACATGGGTGTTCATGGACATGAGAAAGAGAGCTGTGCTCACACACAACACTGAACATGAAGGAATTCCCATCCTGTGTCAACATAGAGAAATCCGGTGAGCACTGAGCTAAATGAAGCAATCTGGTCACAGAACAAACACCATGTAACCTCACAGGTAGACTCTCACCACCTAAAGACGTTGAACACAAGGATGGCTTTCCGGCTGGTGGAGGTGTAGAAACAGGGAGACATTAATCCAAGGCAAAGAAGGAGCTCCAGTCGGGCAGCTGGGCAAGTTCACAGACCTGGTGTGCAGTGGGTGACTACAGATGACAGTCTATACTATGTGCAAAGACTTAAAGAAGGCTGGTGTGTGGTTCAGAACCTGCCTGGCATGTGTGAGGCCCTAGGTTCAATCCCCAGTACCACACACACACACACACACACACACACACACACACACCTGCTCAGAGAGAGATTTTAAATGTAACCCTGACAGGTGATGGATATGCTAAATAACTCAGTGGTCACTGTTTCATATCTGCATATAAAGCCATTGCACTGCACACTTTAATCCTTGGATGTTTGTCAGTTCCAGGAGGTTCTCCAGGCTCCTGCCCTTCTATGTCTGCTGCTCACCTGGGCCCTAAGCCTGGAGATCCCCAAGCTGCACAGGGGATCTGGGAGGAAGCGAGGTCTGTGGATAGCTCAGCTAGCACCACGCACATAATATTTATCTGCAGGTTGCCAGGAGTGAGAGATAAGCATTCAGGTATTTTTCCACGGAGGGGTCTTGTCTCCTTGGATCAAAGTTAAACAGAAACCCAAGTTAACTGAACCGTCCTAAAGACCAGCAGCCTTTCGAAGACTCACATTTGATTAAGGAGCCAGATAAAAGCCAAGGTGAGAATAGTTGGGAGCCAGTGGGGTCCTGGGTAGAAGGAGCACCTGGGGCATCTGTGAACTGTCAGAGTGATGAACCCCCCAGAGCCCCCCACAACATTCTCCCACCGCTTTCCAAATGCTGCACGACCTGCCAGCATGGTCCACGAAGACCAGAGGTTCGGTCACACTGGGTGATTCTTAGTTGCACCTAGTATGTCTGTAAGCCTGTTGCAGGTGCAGGATTTGGAGCCCCTAGACCTTGCTTTTTCCCAAGAGCTTTCAGGCTCCCTGGGAAATTATACCAGCCTCTGTTGTCATTCACATGGTAGACACAAAGGGGTGAGAGTGAGGTCAAATGCCTGGGTCCTTGTAGCCCCTGACTCAAACTTCGCATCATTCCCAGACCCCACTCAGCTGAAGGGTTTCCTGGAGGTGGCAGCAGACCCGACAGTAGCCCTAGGCAGCTGGAGATCAGTACTAGTGGGAGCAGGGGCGAGGACCCTGGGTGCTGTACTCCTGCACATCCCTTATTCTCTCCCCCCATACACCCATAGGACAAGCCGATATACCTAGGACCCTTCCCAGGGACCCAGCTGCATGCTGACCAGCAGATCTAGTCATGTGGAGGAGCTCCCATGGGGTGACCCTACCCCCCAGCTGTCACCTCACATACCGACCGAATGCTGTCATGTTTCCCCCTGATACCCTGGCACCAGTCATTCCCTTCCTGGTCTCCCTCAGGGGTCAGAGGAAAAGACGTGGGTGTGGAGCTACAAGCTTGGCTAGACAAGCGAGCACAGAGGCCTCAGGATGCTAGACAGGGCCAGGTGTGCAAGGCGAGGTGTGTAGACGCAGACGGCCAGGTCTGCTGCACCAGGCGTATATAGGTAGGTGGTTAGGTATTTTTCCATAGAAACACCTTGTCTCTTCAGATCAAAGTTAAACAGAAACTCAAGTTAACTGACGTCAGGTGTGTAAGTCTGGGCGCATGGGGGTGCTGAAGTGTAAGTACAAGGCCAAGTGTGCAAGGCCAGGGGCTCAGGGTGACTGCAGAGTTTGGGTCAGTCTACACCCCACTGGTCTGGGTGAGGGGAATGGGGCAGGGCCCACATTATAGTGGAAAGCACGCACCATGGTACTGGTCAGATCCCGAGGAGGAAGCGCATACTCCCTGGTAGGAACTCATTATTCCCAATCCCCGTGCTCCCTGGTGTAGTCAAGGACTGTCCCTGCCCCTAGACGGTCATGGGGCTAAGATTCGAACCCAGCACCTCCCACTCTACAAGCTCACAGCTGCACTAAGGGGTTAGGGAAACACTGTGGGGTAGGGGTGAAATCTTCGTCCTCGTCTTTCTTTCTGGTGCCACGGGGAACTCCACTTGTCCTATTCCACACTGGGGTAGGAGTGATCAGCCTGCCACAGAGGCCCAGCAGGAATGGGGCTCACCCTGGAGTGGAGGAACCCGGGAAAGAGAGGCTGAGAGGCCAGAGAAGGTAAGGACTCTCCTACTCTGACCCCTGAGTTTCCATGGACGTCTCCCCCATCCACCTTGCCTGGAAAGGGGCCTCTGCTCGATGAGGCTTGGCACCCAGATGTGGCCTACAGGGATGGGGAGCATGAGTGCTGATGGACCAGTCCCCCAGGACCTTGCTGTGGATGCAGCCCAAAGTGTCCAGATGTTTAGTCACTGGCTGACCAGGCAGCCACAGTTAAAGACATTAGTGTCCCATGAAGCTCCACTGTACAGACTCCATGTGCCAGCTCTGGCCCTGCACCCCATGTGGCTGAGCCCTCACCCAAAGGAGGCGTGGCCTTCCTTCCAGCACCTAACAGGACCTATGCTTTTATAGCCTCTGGCTGCCCCTGAAGCAGACACATGGCCAGGCCCTCCAAACCCTGGCTAGCAGCCCACATGATTCCCCATCATCTTGCAAGGCCCCAGCAGAAGATGTGGTAGGTTGTTCTCCTGTCAAGACACATCCCCGTGGAGCTGACCATGCAGGATGGACTCTGCCAGCTGTGGCCAGGTGCGGGCTCCCACTGGGAGGCGGCCCAAGCTACTCCACATTCAGCTATTTCAAGGATGGAATGTGTGTGGGATTCATTGTGACACCAGCTGGGTAAAATCTGAGCCTATAGCCCTGGGGCAGCCCCACCCTCTCGGGTTCAGCTGTGGCCCCTAATGAAGCCTTGAGCATCCCCTGGGCTTCTGCACAGCCCAGGCCCTTCCTGGAGCGGGGCCACACCTCCAGCTCCTCTGCCAATAGCCCGTCCCTCACCCTCTGTATGCATCTTCTCAGCCAGAGACCTGTTCATCCTCTGGGTGGTCCTTCCGCCCACCTGTTCCTCCATTCCAGTTCCTTGTGTGCCTCTTTCCTGGGAATGAGTACTATCTATCTAGGGCCTGATCCTGCCCTACCTGTAGCCCCAGGCTCTGAGCCAGCCACTTGCCAGGAACCATCCAAGTTCATCCTGCTGGCATCCAACAAGATGATTCCCAGCAGAGTCCCAGGGAACCCTCGTGGCTGCATGCCGACATACCTACAGCAGACACCCCTGTGAGCCCAGCATGGTCTCCCAGCTCCTGAGCCACTGACTAAAGGGCAAGGCCACTTCCCCCCCCACAGAGGACAGATGTCATTCCCTGCAGGCTGGCCAAGGCCTCCCAATGCAAACAGTAGCTGGGGAGCCAGGAACACAGCTTGGGAGCACTATCCAGGGGCCTGGTCCCTGACCGGACACAAAACAAAGCTAGCTGGGACCTGGTCCAACTGTCCCTGCCCTGCCTTGATCCTGGGATAATCTGAAGAATGACCCCCTCCTCTGTTCTACCCATCACACAGCATTGTACCCCAGAGCTTCATTCAGACCTTGGCCGGGGCCTATGATCCTCCTTGTGCGGTTGGCACTTTTTAGCCCTTTGACTAGGCTGGCTGGGGCCACAGGGAGAACTTCAGAGAGCGTGGCTCAGAGGCTAGGAACAAGGATGGAGCAGCTGGAATTCGGTAGGAATCAAAGCTCCTCCATCACATTATTGCTTTGGTTCTCCCTTTCCAGTCTGTGACTGAGGAGGCAGCACGTGGCTAACTCTGCAGGGACTGTCTCTCTGTCTCAGGTGATGACCTGTCTGTCACACTTGCTGCAGACATAGAACCTGTGGGCATAGCCACGCCCAGACCCCAGCCTCCTCCCCTTCACAGAACACCATACCCCAGCGCCTCTCCAGTGCCGTTACCAGGCTCGGTGAGGAAGGGGCGGGGATCCTATGCCAAGCTTTCATCAGCCCTGGTTGAGCTCTTTTGACAAAACCAAATGGAAAGGGGAAGATGGTGGCCACTTGGTTACCTGCAGCTGGCCCAATGAACACACAGTACCCATCCTCCTGAGAAGGGAGCGAGGCACAGTTGACTGGCAGCCTGCCCCCGTCTAGGTGGTTCCAGCATCCATCCTCCAGGACCTCACAGAACTGACGGCAAGGTGGTAGGGCAGGTGGTGGGCCTGGGCCACACGAGGGAGCCAGCAGCAGACAGAAGAACCAGGCAAGGAAGGGATGGCAGTTTGTCTGGAGGAGGTGCCCCCATGCCTGTGCAGCGGCCTCTACCTCCTCACTGCTTTTGTGGTCTAGATGATTAGGCAGCCAGAAGTGTCCAATACCTAAGTGGCTGCAGATGGTCAAAGTGGGTGGCAGAGGCAGGCATCGGCTGGTAGAGGTCAGAGAGCCAGTTCCCAGCACTGCAGAGTCATTGGAAAGCTCAGCACCTGAAGAGGTAACCACGTGGGAAACCCAAGCACCAGGGAGCTCAGATAAAGCTGCTACTGGAGAGAGCTGGGCTGAGGGATCAGAGGAAGGGACAGAGAGTAAACCGTGCACACTCAGAGAAGCCATCACCAGGGGACCCGTCACCAGGGGAAGCAGAAGAGGTATGTGCCCGTGGATGTCAGAGTGAACATCAGAGTGTCGGTGCTGCTGGCTGGGCCTGGATGCAATAGGCAAGAGTCTGTTCCCCTCCAGATGCTGGGGCTGCCTGGGGGGCTTCTGGCTCCCCCAGGGAGGAGCCCTGGTTTGTGTAGGAGAGAGAAAAGCTCTACCTGGGGGTGCTGGTGGCCCTGGGGGTCTTCTCAGTGGTGCCTGGAGGCTGCTCAGGGAGGGAGGTGGCTGGGTGGGCACAGCCAGGGTGCCGGCCTCGGTTGTCTGAACATCTGGAGAACTTGGACTGCCTCCGCTTTGCCAGAGAGTGGTCTCATCCTCCTGGGGGGCGCTGGAGAACTCAGTAGGAGTGAGGAGGACCATAGGGATCGAGGAAGCTGAGGTTTCTGTCCCAGCAGAGTTCTCGGTAGCCGTGTCCTCATCCCACAGCTGAACGAAGCTCCGGATGCCCTGGGCCACATTCAGAATCTTGGCTCCAACGCCGGCAACATTCTCCTCCTTCATGTCTGGGCTCGCGGCAGAGGCCGTCGGGGGAATGGGGAGGGCAGGAGCTGTAGGGGTCCCTCTCTGGCCAGCTTCCTGATCCTCCAGGGGCGGCCTGGAGTTGGCAGGAGTCGTCTGCTGATCTGTAAGGCCATCCTGGGGGACAACGTGCGTGGTGGGGTTCCCTGTGGACTGCACAGGTGAACTGATCTGGGACTTGGAGACTGGCTTGTCGGTCTTGGTGGGCCACAACCACTCCAGAGGCCTGAGGGAATTCAAGGGGTTCAGGGGGTTCTTGTCAGGCCTGGCAGGCTCAAGGCAGCAGGAGAGCAGCAACAGCAGCAGCCAGAGGCGTCTGCTGGGGTCGGGAGCCATCAGAGCAGTGCAAGCCTCTGAGCTGGGGCGGCTCCTGTGGTCCTGGAGGTGGGGCCTGCCAGGTCCCCACCCTCCCCCAAGCACGCTTCCCAGTCTCACTCCTCTGCCACTTCCCTCTGGCAGAAGGGAAGGAACCCAGCCTGAGAATCAAGGTGACCCACCAACTGGTACCTTCAGATTCCATTTAACTCCTTCCTTTCTGCACCTCCCGGAGCAGACACAGAGCTGAAAGGCAGTCAAGGGACACCCGGTGGAACTCCAGTTTATGCCACTTAGAGCTGCTGAGTTTTCTGCTGAGAGTGTGTGTGGGAGGGTGTGGGGGGCCTGGCTAGGGTCCTAGGGGACACGGAGGCCACGCCCCAGCTCCTACTGCCTGCATTGGAGAACACCCGGAAGTCCTGGTGGCTGGCCACCGTTCTGTGATGAAATGGAGTTGGAAGAAGGCTCAGCTTGCTGTTACAGCTGTTGCTTCAGAGAAAGGGTGGGTGTCTGTCCCTTCCCTCACCCCCTCCCCATCCCCAGTCCCCCAGTTAACCTGCTCAAACCCTAAATCCATCAATTCAGCCATCAATTCCTGTTCCTTGGACACCAAGAGTCCCCACTGGGGCCTTGATGGGCATATCACTTCTTTCTCTATTCTTAAATTCTCTCGCATGACCCGCCCTGTTTTCATTGGTGTCTCTAGGTCCTTGCAAGTGTTTCAAAACTAACTCTTGGGAGTTGCTTCCAATTGGCAGACTGGAGCAGCAGTTAAGCCTCAAGAAGAAGGTAAAGGAAATATATGGAGTTCATTCAAGGGATATGCTGTCAATGGCGGGCTTCTGCCTCCTGTCTTACGGAGTCCAGCTCTGTGTAGAGGGCATGGCATTGCTTAGTAGCCTGTGGGGACATTCTAATCACCCCAAGTCCTTCAAAGTGAGGCTGGGGAGAGAGTCCTGCCCACAGCCTCAGTGGAGTCCAGGGGCTAAAACAGAGCTAGGACCAAGTTCTTATGCCTTGGGGCACCACCATTACCAGGCATCCCCTCAGGCTATGTTCCGGGAATGACAGAGTCAGGACACAGAGGTTGCTCCAGCATAGCTCAGGCGCATACTTCTCCAGGTCAGTCCGCAGCTCTGTGCTTCGTGTGCCGTTTCTGATCCTTCCCTTCACACGGCTTCAGATAAAACCTCATTCTGTCTAGAATAAACCAGGAGCTGGAGGTGGGTTGTCAACCCCGCAGTTTGCTCTGGTCCATGGGACCAGAGAAGTGGGACCAGGGCCACTCACGGCGCCCATGCTCCTTACTCTACTGCATTCACCCCATCTTGGGCGCAGCTAGGGTACGAGTTTTACCCATTTCTGTCGTGATGGGAGCGAGGCAGAGAGCTGTGCCCTGCGGGGTCCCAGAAGCAGGACCATGGAATGTGGGGTTTGCAGGACGTTCTGTCTCCTTGGCTTCATTTCTATGGATGTTGGGTCTGATGGGATGGGCTTGGCCTCTCTAGGATGTTGTAGGTACCCCATATCTATCTGAACTCTTCCAACCAGAGCAGCACCTAGGACCCCCCAACTCAGGAAAGACCTGCTTTTATCTGAGAATATTGTTCCTTCCCAGCTCTGCACCAAGGCCAAGCCAGGATGGATCCCAGCTATCCTGGGGCAGCAGGGACAGCTGCTCAGGCTTCCTCCAGGCCCTCTTGTCCCAGCCGGATGCTGAGAGCGACTCCAGGGAGGGCATGGTGCCTGGAGCCTGTGCCCTCAGGGAGGGGAGGGTGGAGGGAAGTCTCAGGACCAGGAGGAGCCTGGACCAACAGAAACAGGTTAGCTATAGAAGAGGAGGGGCAGGAACTCGGTCAGGCAGATACCCAAGAATAAGAGGTCAAAACATCACCATAAAAGCAGGTGCCCGACGTCCAGCAGGCAGGAAGGTGGCAAGGGTTACTCTGAGATGAACTCTGGAGAGCAGCCAGTGCCAAAGATGACCACCCTCAGTCCCATTCGGAAGGGCCCACCAGAGGGGACAGAGCTCAGCCACTTCCTCCCCAGCACTGGCTTCACCTACATTCATCCCTTCCCTGCCCTCGGCCTGGGGTTCCCAGCAATAATTCAAAGCGGGACGGGACTCCACTCCAGCCCTACTTCCAGCTGTCACTCTATAGATTCTGTGGCTTCCTTCCTCAGTTTCCCCAGTAACGAAAAAATCTAGATGGACAAAAGTGTCTTCCCATCCATACTCCATGAAGCTAGCAATCCTAGAGAACGGAGTACAAGCGTAGGCCCAGCAGAATCCCCACACCAGCCAGACACATGCCGAGCACCCTGTAAGAGTCCACTTAGCAGAGTGAAGAAATAGAGACACAGAGGCCATGGGCCTGGCTCAAGAGCCCAGAACTATAAGAGAGAAGAAATGATACCTGGCAGCGTGGACATGAACAAAAACACACACATCCATTCTCATGTAATGATGCCATAGCTTTACCCCCAGGGTCTACACTATGTGACTTCTCTAGCCTCAGCCAGCTGCCCCTTCCTGGCCCTACTTTTTCTACGCTGGCTGTCTCCAGAGTTACTGCCACCCTCCCCCAAGGTTGAGTGCAGTGGCAATGCTGCCATGTGATGAAACAGCCCCAAAGGCATGTCCCCAACTGTCCTCACATCAAATGTGGGGAGTCATCGATCAATGGTTGTCTAAAGGGCAGGGCCGTGTTGTTGGGATCAGAATTCAGCTGCAAACAGCTGGAGACCAAGTCCCTCTCTAGCAGTCGGGCAGTCATGTGCACACATCTGTGCCTCTGCCTTCTACGTCTCCAAGTTAATCCCCCACGACGCTCACATCTGTTTTAGAAGTGTCCAGTGAACAGTCTGCTTGAAAATTCCCTAATGTGATTTCATGCCTCCAAGTGTTGCTGGAAAATCCCAGGACAGAGTCCAGAACCCCTCCCCTGCATGTACGAGGAGAGGGGACTCAGCCCCACAGCAGGGAAGAGGGAAGAGGACCCTAAACTCATGCCATGTCCTCACCCCTGTCTCATTCAAATGGTTATTCCTCGAACCTCATGACTGGCAGGCTGGCTGTGCACCCAGGGACTCAGCAAGAAATTCCCGGGCAAAGCCAGGAGCCAGGGATGGAGGTAATGCAATGGCAGCGGCTCCTATTTCAACTTTGAAATAGGCCTACGTAGGAGGACAGAGGTCCTCCGACATTGAGTGCCCACGGTGCCCAGCACTCACTCGTGTTTAACATTCCCTGACCTTGCTGCTCATTTCAGAAACATAAAATATTCAGCAATTCCCTCACGAGCACCATGGATGGATCCACAGCTCAGGCCCCAAGCTTTGGCTTCCATCAGGAGTCTTGCACACTATATACATATGCACGTGTGCACACACTCACGAACACACATTCCCACACAGGTGTGTGGTGTACTTACACGCACACACACACACACACACACACACACACACACGTACATGCCTATTCAATACACTCAAACACACATGCTCATGCTCACAGTCACACATACACACATGCTCATAAAAACACATGTGTACTCAGGGAGAGTCAAGGTCCGAGCCTACCAGAGGCTGTCATCTCTGTCCCACCCAGCCCTACCCAGTTCTGTATAAAGGGTCCCATCTGGTATCACTCTGTGTGCCCACAGGAGACCAGGTCAGGGTTTCAAATAACATATCACCCTTCTGGGAGAGAGGACAGAAACTGAGGAGCTAGGAGCAGAACCAATCTATTTCCCTGCCACAGCCTGGTCAAGGGAGACCTCAGGCCCTTTGGAGATGGACTGCATAGTGTCATGCAGGATGCAGGATCTGTGAGCGGCATGGAAACCGCCTGGCCCAGGTGATAGCAGCCACAGTGCCAGGGAGAGAACCCAAGCTAAAGAGAAAGAGATCCCTAAACCCAAGGAAAGGTGTCTAAGGATAAGAACCTGGCGAGGAGGAGAGATGCCCAGGTTGGAGTACCTGCCCATCTGACTCAGGTTCATTCCCTGGCAGGTGCAGGTTGAGGGCTGAACATGGAGGCTGGGGATGGGGGGCTGTGGCCCTAGAGCAAACATCTGAGTTCTTGAGGAACTAAGTCATCACAAGCTCAGTCACAGTGTCCCCCAGGCCCCCACTCCAGCTCCTAGAGAACAGGAAGAATTGGTCAGAAACCTGGGGATCAACACACAGTGTCCCCCAGGAAAAGCAAAGTCACAAAAGCAGGCCTCCCGCACACCCCAGATTCCCAACCCTCGGCCTGCAGCTCCCTTTCTTCTTTCCGGCAGCGGTGAGAACAACTTTCCTAGAAGTCCACATCCACTGGCAACCCGTGACTTAAGGAAAGGCCTGAGGCCCTCTTGGACTGCACCCGAGTCTGACCTTGGGCTGGCTCTCCTGCTGTTGCCCGCCACCTTGTGAGGAAACACGTCACTTCTATCCCTAGGCACCCGTGCCTGACTTGTTTGACATAGCCCAGGTAGTCTGTCAAGTCTAACCATCCCGGAAGCCATAGCGGAATCTCCTCTTGGCAGAGCTACCATAGTGTGGAACCTGCAAACCAAGCCATTCCATGGGACCACACTTGTGCTGACCTCTAGAGAGCCGTGTTCTGCCCAGCTCACTTATGAGTCAACTGAGCAGCCAGCATAGCACGAAGGCCTCCTGAGTTAGGGGCCTATGTGGCCTCCAGGACTGGTGCAAGCTTCCCTACAACAGCAGACAGTCAATGATAGTCCTCTCTTGGCCCTTGGCGACTATAGTCACATGTGACTCCTCCTGCCAACAGGGCTCAAGAGTTGGTCAAAGGGGACAGCAGCAAAACTCTGGGGAACAGTCACCTCTAGCGAACCTAGTCTCACACCCAGGAGTGGGGTGCAGGCTCATAGCGCCCTTCTGTTTTTGTCCGTGGATTTGTTTGTTTGCTCCAACAGGGCTCAAGAGTTGGTCAAAGGGGACAGTAGCAAAACTCTGGGGAACAGTCACCTCTAGTGAACCTAGAAGCATTTGGGAGGACAAATGAGTTTATCTCAGTTTCAGAATCAAGGTACCAAGACACGAGCCGTCCCTCACCCTTGCCTGCCAAGGTCCTTGGGTGTGTGTGCCACAGCAAGTTCTTGCCATGCAAGAAGCCACTCCCTCTGCACCATCAGTCCCAGCTCTGGAATGACAGGGGCATGAGGGTTCTTGGGAACTCAAGAGCTACCAAATCAGGAACCTAAAGGCATCATTTCAGCTGTGTTTCAATCCAGCAAATTCCCCTGCCAATGCCAGGAGCCCAGACTGTCCCTGCTACTCTGCTACTTCCTATTTGCAACCCCCCTGGTCTTCCTTGTGTGCCCTGGGGCATCTCTATAGCTCAGCAAGGCACAACCTCTACTGTCTCAGCAAACACCAAATCTTCAGTAGGCCAGGGTCACTTTGCCTTGGCGGCCACACCCTCCTCCCATCACCATGGGGACAAGGGGGACAAGCACCCATCTGAAAGGAGTCATTAGCTCTGTGTGTATCATTCCTCCCAGCACTCAGTCCCTTCCAGAAGGTTCCACCCTCTCACTGCAGCAGCAAGACGCACCCCTGCCCCAAGCAAGGGTTTGTTCTGTCTTGTTGGCCCCGTCTGGTTTGGATTCCTGAATAATGCAGTCTTTTATTTTCATTAAAAACTCCAAGACACCCACATTTGAGCAGGAACTGGCTCTTAGCAGAGTGAGCCGTTAAGACAGAAGAGGCTGTGAGCCCCAGGGTGGCTCTGGGAGACAGCTGCGAGTTCAAGGGTCAGAAGCACGTCCATCACTGCCAGGTGGGTCACATCTTGTGCCGAAGCCACCCTGAGACTTAGCCCACGGTAATCTTTGGACTCCCTACAGCTTCACGGGTCTCTCAGGGCTAGCCACTGCCTATCCCAAAGCTGAGTAGGGAAGAACAGTGGTGGAGGAGCCAGGAAGTCACCACAGCCCGCTCCCTGCATTCCTCGTGGCTCTCCCCCATGTCCACCAGCCCGTGTGAACTAGACCACTCTGGCAAGATTCAGGTCTTCTGTGGACTCCTTCCTTTGGAAACAGAGGCTACACAGGGGCCTGAGAAGGTCAGTCAGCACTGGAACAGTGTCCTGGTCCTGATCCTGGTTCCACTCACTGACCCAGTCAGACCTGACAAGTGTCCCCAAGCCTCTGAGGGGACACTCTGTCATTCCATCGGGAGACAATTCATCCAAAAAGTACTGAAACACTGCTTCTCCACTCTCCTCTGTGCCAGAAAAAACCGCCACCATCTGAGCACAGCCATAAACTCTCTTCTGGGTACTGCACTCATGGCAAAGTTTTCCAACACAAGGATAAAGGATGAACACTCTGGTGATGCCCCTTCCAGGCTCCTCCACTCAGAAAGGGCTCACAGACAAGCTGGAGAAGCTCCACGGGCTTCACAGCCCAGGCTCCACACGAGTCAGGCAGTGCCTTTTCTGGTCCCTGGCTGGCTGTTAGGGTCCCTGGAACTTTGCTGGAGAGTAAGATGAGGTGGCTAACTGGACAGTGGTGGTGCACTCCTTTAATCCCAGCACTCAGGAGGCAAAGGCTGGAGGATCTCTGTGAGTTCAGAGATCTCCAGCCTGGTCTATAGCTCAAGTTCCGGGACAGCAAAGACTATACAGAGAAACCCTGTCTCAGGAAAGAAGAGGAAAAAAGAAGGGAGAGGGAAGAAAAAGAAGGGAGGATGGGGAAGGAAGGAGTGGAAGAGGAGGAAGAGGAGAAGAAGAAGAAAAGAAGAAGAAGAAGAAGAAGAAGAAGAAGAAGCAGCAGCAGCAGCAGCAGCAGCAGCAGCAGCAGCAGCAGCAGCAGCAGCAGCAG